CAAGCTGCTCAAACTGTGGATGTATATAACACAATAAAAATTCCCAGTAACTGTTTTGGCTCTAAGCCATCAGTCTAATTAATTTTCAATGTCAATCAGAAAATGGAAAAGGAGTCAAATACTCTCAAAGTAATTGATTGAAACAAATTATTCTCAGATACTCAGTAATTACTCAGAGTGACTCTTGTCATCACAATTTCAGACACAATCTGAAATAAATTGTTTGCTTCTCTCTATCTTTAGATCACAAAATAAAATATTATTTTATTTGCACTAAGAGGCAATGATCCTGCAGTAGCTTACACTTACTTTGCAACAGTGTTAGACATCACCTTGTCCAGTCACTTCAGGCCGAAACGCAGTGAGAGGGTCATTTATATCATCAGCTATATCCACTAAAGTACCCTACTGCCTTTCTTCCTCTTTATAAATCCTCCTCCTGAATATAAAATGTTTCACCACATTTAAAATTAAAGTTGTATCACTTAATAGTTCCACAGATTTAAAAATTAAAGTTGCTGCACTTGACCTAACACCTGATTTATCCTGTTTCAATCCTTGTGACATTTTCCCATGGGTATCTTCTGTTGTTTATACTGTATACCCAAAGGTTATACTGATAACACTCTGTCTTTTCCTTATTTAAAAAGGTAATAGATCCTATCATAAGGAGATTCCTTTGGTTCATTATTACACATTACAGTGTAATATTTAAGACACCTGCTTCCTTGTATCTCACAGAAAATATTGCCATTAAGAGTTTCAGTAAAATTATCAGAACAAAATCATTTAAACCTTCTGTTTTTAGTCTATATTTGTCTAATCCCCATGCCATGCTCATAAAGGGGAAAGAAAGAAAGTTGCAGTATATAAAAATTCACATCATAATAATGACAATGACATTGATACTAGTTATCATTTACTAACCTCTTTCTGTGCTCCAAAAACACTGCTAAGTCTTTCGTACAATTAATCTTGTCAGTCAATCTTCTCCATAACCCTAAGAGAAAAGGACTAGTTCCATTTTTAAGGTAAGAAAGACAAATTTTAGAAAAGTGAAATATTTTGTCACTGTCACACAGGAGGAAATTGATAGGACTGATTTTCCTTTAACATGACAGCAAATTAAGATAATCTGGTCAGATCACCAGACTAAAAGCAGAAATCATACATAGCAAGGAAAAATCAAAGGTACAAAAAAAAGTTATCAAAAACAAAGCATGTAAATCAATGATCTAAATAAAAGAGCTAATACCACAAATCTCTTAGAAGAAAACTTAGGGGCAAATCTTTACTACCTTGAATTTAGCAGTTAGTTCTTAGGTCATCAAAAATACAAACAATCAAAAGATAGATAAATAAATCATCAAAATTATAAAGAATTATAAACTTTTGTGCATCAAAGGACATTATCTAGAAAGTGAAGATAGCCTATAGAATGAGATAAAATATTTGTAAATCATGTATTTGATTTAATGTCTAGAATATACTATACAAGGAACTCTAGAATTCCCACAATGCAACAACAAAAAACCAACCTAACCAAAAATATGAGCAAAGGACCTGAAGAGACATTTCTCCAAAGATACACAAAATGAACAATGGACAATAAACATAAAAAATGGTTAAAATGGTAAATTTTAATTATGTATATTTTATATTCCCCATTAAAATAATATTGTTCTCTTTATTTTAAAGAAAGTCATTCACAACCGGTATCTTCAGACCAGATCACTCTTGTGAGATCCAGACATGCGTTGCCAATGCTAAAACCTCAAATTCAAGTCCGATGTTGATGTCATTCTTTTTTTTTTTGCACCGGGAATCAAACTCAGAACCTTGTGCTTGCAAGGAAGGCATGGTGCCACTGAGCTAAATCCCTGGCCCTGTTGATGTCATTCTTCAACTACAACTAAGCTCCTGTTGCACTAGAAAAGTCCACTCCTTGTTCCTTCTCCTGTAAGTCTTGTCTCCAGAATAGCAGCATTACCCATTAAGCTCAAATCATCTCTCATTCTTTCTTCCTCACTCCTACAACCAACCACCTCTCAAGTTTTGTTTTGTTTAAATTTATTTTTCCTCCATCCTACTTTCTAGATATGTCTTCAATTTACTTCCTCTTTTCCATTCTTATGGTCACAGTCTTTGTTTAAGGCCTCATTCTCCCTCACTCACCAGGATTATTCTATTAACTTTCTGCTTGGTCTGTCAGCCTTTAATAAGCCTCTGCAGGAAGTCATCTGTCTTTCTTCAATCTGTTTAAATTCAGAACAGCCGGGGCTGAGGATTTAGCTCAGTAGTTCTGCCACCTGCCTTGCAAGCGCAAGGTCCCAAGTTTGATCCCCAGTACAAAAAAAAAAAAAAAAGAATTAAATTCAGAACAGCCTTTAATATTTTTTCACATTACAGATCTGATCATCTTTCTTCCTTTAAAATATGTCTTCATTACCCTTGGAATAAAATGCAACCTCTCTGCCATACAAGACTAGCTCTCAACAGCTAGATCCCAAATAGTTTTGCATCCACTCCCTGCCCCCAACTCTAGCCATATTAAATGCTCTCTACTCCAACCATGCTCCTCTTCCCTTCCCACATCCACAGTTTGCATTAGGACTCACTCTTGGTGTTGTACATCATATGGGTTTATACAAATGTATAATGACATCTCCCCATCACAGTAACATGGCAAAGTATTTATACTGTCCTGAACATCTTTTATATTTACCTATTCATCCTTTACCTCCCTTTACCCCACCCTATCCTTGGAATCACTGATCATTATATTGTCTCCTCAATTTTTCTAGACTGTCATATAGTTGGAATCATACAATATTTAGCCTTTTCATATTGCCTTGGTTCACTTAGTTGCATACATTTAAGATTCTCCCATTTCTTTACATGGCTTAATAGCTTATTTATTTGTAACTGCTGAATAATATTCCATTGTCTGGAAGCACCAAAGGTTTATTTATCAGTTCACCTACTGAAGGATATCTTGGGTGCTTCCAAGTTTTGGCAATTATGAATAAAGCTGGTATAAACACATTGTGCGTAGGTTTTTTGTGTAAGCTTAAGTTTTTGTCTCCTTTGAGTAGATACCAAGGAGGGTAATTGAAGAATTATATGATATGAGGATGTTTAATTTTGCTAGAAATGGCCAAATCTCTTTCAAAGTGACTGTGCCATCTTGCATTCCCAACAGCCAGCACATCCAGCAGTATTGTCAGTATTTTGGATTTTAGCTTTTCCAAAGGGGATGAAGAGTAGTGGTATCTCACTGTATTTTAATTTATGTTTTTAAATGACATATTACATGGAACATCTTTTATGCTTATTTGACATTTGTGTATCTTCTTTGGTGAGGTGTATTTGGTGCAATTTTAAATTAGGTTGTTTTCTTATTGTTGAATTTTAAAAGTTCTTTATATATTTTGGATAATAGTCCTTTATCAGATGTATCTTTTTCAAATATTTTCTCCCTGTCTGTGGCTTGTCTGATTCTCTGAGGGAATGTGCTTGGTTTTAATTTAATGTAAAGATCTCTAAATATCTCATGTAACTTCATTATTAGCTGATCCAAGTCTAAAAATATTAATTTATTCTGCTTTATTGACTACCTGTTATAGACAGTAAACATAACAAATACTCTAGTTGAACAGTGACTGCCAGAATCAAAGCATCTCTGTAAAGAGAGAAAGTATAACTAACTGAACTCAATACTTTACCTATGTTTATACACAGTGCTCTACCTCAGGTAATATAAAAGATATCTAAATAATTAAGTTTTTAAGCTCCAGTATATTTGAGGTGTCTCCCATCATGCATTGTACTTATAAGCACTACTGTTCTCACAAGAAATATATAATACAGTGAAGAAGATAGACCCATTACAAAATGATTGTATGATAGGACAGAAAAAGTACAGAATTGAGTCATGGCCAATATTAACTAGCTGTGACCTTAGGGAAATAAATTAATCTGCCCTCAATCTTGGCTCAATAAACTAGTTGAACCAGAACCTCTAGATAGTGAGTTTTTAATTGATACATGTACAGTAACCTTTTGTGTGTATTGAGGACCACCACAGCCTTAACTGTAGCTGGGTAACACTTGGAATCAAAGTAATTGAAAGAAAAAGATTGGATAAAGTGACTTCCAAGATAAACGTCTAGCTTTGGAGAAATCTGTTACTATAGAAACAGCAAATGATCAAGTCAAGCCCATGCTTGAAGAGTTTCGTTTGTTCAATTTTTTTTATGCAATTCAAGAAAATTTAAAAGCAGTCTTGACTACTAAGAAAAGAAACAGGGCCGGGGATTTAGCTCAGTAGTTCTGCCGCCTGCCTCCCAAGTCCAAGGTCCTGAGTTCGATCTCTGGTACCAAAACCAAAAAAAGAAAGAAAAGAAAGAAACAGCTTGCTTAAAAGTGCACTTAACAAAAGGGATTTTCACTGTTTGGCTGAGGTACCTGGAAGGAGAAGTGATAAAGTATGTGCAGCTCTGTTTTCCCATCACCGCTCCTACCATCTTCCTTCTCCATAAAGAACCACAGGATGTAAGCATTGTTCTGTTTCTTGACTTTGTTGATTGTTACAGTATTTGCTTAACAATATTATTTGTAATTTTACTTTTTCAGATATTTGATTTTTTTAGAAAAATGCCTTATCGATATCTAACACAATAATAACCTGAGTGATGTGCCCCAAAACTTTTTAAATGAGAATACTTATACAATAGTAATTTGACTGTTACAAATAAGTACATTTCTCATGGATTCAATTAAACATCAGACAGGAAAAAAAAAATCCTTTGAAAGATAAATACATTGTGTGCTTCCTGCCAATAAGAGACACAATACTTCCTCGTTGTTAATGAAAAATAATACATACTTTCTAAAAAGAAAGAAAACACTCATGAGTCACCTATTTCCACACTCAGGACTGAGACGCTATAAATTTCTCCAGCCACTAGCAGAAAACTTCAAACCTTTCACAGGTCTGGGAACAGCTGTGGCTTGATGGCAGCGATGCCGCTCACCCTGCTGTGGGTTATGTATCTGCTGCCCAGCCATTTCGCCCTGCCACTGCCCCAGGAGGCGGGGGACATGAATAAACTGAAGTGGGAACAGGCACAGGTACGTCACTCACCTGGGGCTTAGTGGCCTCACCATCAGCATTAGAATTGTGTTTTTCAACTATTTTCTCCTCCCATGTTACTCTTGCAATGAATTTTCTTGTCATAATGTTTCTGCTTGTAAAGGCAATTATTTTCATCAAGTAGCCATTCAGAGCAGGCTTTAAGACCTCCCCAGAAAAATTTAAGAATTTTTTTAAACATCTCTTATCTTCAATTTTCCAATTTGGACTTTGGAGACAATTATGTCACCAAATGGGTGTGTTAAATGCTTTTAACACACTACCTGAACATGGTTCACACATAATAAATTGAAGTTTTATTCTTATTTATTATAACTTGAAATTCTTTTCTTAAAGTACTTAGAATGTGGCCTCTTAAGATAATAATTATTTGTACCAGAGAAATTGGAAGTCAGAAACTATGGGTAGAATTTATAGCTTTGCAAGCCGGGGATTTGGCTCAGTGGTGCCTGCCACTGCCTGCCTCACAAGTGCAAGGTCCCAAATTCAATCCCTGGCACCAAAAAAAAGTTATAGCTTTGCCACAAGCCAATGATGCTAGGCAAAAAATAAATTTCTGAATTTGTTTTCTCATGTATTCAATGGACATAATAATAATATGTGTTCTACACCACACAGGATTATTCTAGTGAACAACATGATAATACCAATTAGCATGTATATTAACAATTACTGATTATAAAGTACTTCTATATATACCATGTCATTTACCTTTTAGCTCTATCCTGAAGGAAAAAAGAAGAAATGGAAGCTGTTGATTCCTTTTATTCAAGTGGTAGAGAGAAGAATCAAGGACAGGTTTTTCTAGCCCAAAAATAATGGGGTTTTTTTCCAACATATATACATATATATATATATATACACACACACATGTATATATATATGTGTATATATATATGTATATACATATATATGTGTATATATATGTATATACATATATATGTATATATATATACGTATATATATATACACATATATATATGTGTGTGTGTGTATATATATACGTATATATATGTATATATATATGTTTTGGTTTTTTTTGGTACCGGGGATCGAACCCGGGTCCTTGCGCTTGCGCAGCAGGAGGTGAAACCAGGGAGCTAAATCCCCAGCCCAGGGTAATTACTCTTAAGGATTATGTATAAATTTAAGCTTTAAGCAAAGAAAAATCAAATTTTATTTCACATTAACTTGGATTTTTAAAAGGTTCAATATTAGATTAGATTAAACTATATGAAATTACTAACATTTAACTGTTTTTTACATCCAAAACAATAATCTTTATATAATTAATGGATTCTCCAGTAGGACTGCATTGACAAGAGTATCAAGCCCCCTTATTTAGCATGCAGATTTCCTCAAGAAAGTGGTTAGCAGGCTTATGGAAAAACAGAAAAGTTAATCTCAAGAATGCAGAGACATTTCTTTTATTTGTAAGTCTATAGCTCTAGAAGGGGTAAAATCAGTTATTTGTTTTTAAATAAGGAATTAATTTGTAATTGTCACAGATTAACAATAAGTATTTATTGTATTGAATGAAACACATTCATTGGTAGCAATAAAGAAGACATAATATTAATAAGGTTATTTATGTAAAATACAAATAATCATTATCATCCACTCCAATACTGACTGCAAATTAGTGGGCCAATGTTTAAATCATTCCAACAACAATATGCTCATCCCTTATATAAGCCTATACATTTTTCTAATAAAATGGCTTTAGAATTAGAATACAAGTGTCTTCGGACTGACCTTATGCAAGCTATTTCATTTCTTTGAGTCATATTTCTTTATATGTAAAACAGAGGTAGCAGTGCCATAGCTGCTTCACGGGGTGGTTGAAATAAATATGTAATTACCTAACACTAATATATGCTTTTAAAATGTTCTTATTTTTTTGCAGCAGTTATTAGTTCATTCTCTTTTAACTTATTTTTATACATTCTAACTGATGAGTTCCCATTCTTATCTCTAGATACTAGGAAACTCTAAGAAATTCCCAAGGATTCACCTGTGCATGGAATAGATCTGGGAAGCCCTGCTTTCTTCTGCCACCTCCAGGAGGGGTTTTAGAAGGGATTTAAGAGTGAAGAGAGGGACTGGGATTGGAAAAGGCAGAGAGAAGGAAAGAAAAACTTGAAGTCAGGAAAGTCAGAACGAGTTCTCCTAACTTCATGTATGAACCCGAGCTAATCATTTGGATGCTATGAGTTCTGATTTCTTGCCCTAGACAATTCAAACTTATTAAACTAACAATATGCTCATGTCCTTTCCCAGACTGAAGCGTTATGACCCTTTAACCTTTAGCTGGACCAGAGCTCAGCAGGATTTTAGATGGGCTGGTGGACTTCAGATCTCCCCACAGAGTCTATAACACCAAAGGGGTCTTGGGGTGGCTCTTGAAGATACAGTGGGACATTCTTCCTGATTGTTCTAAGAACAAATCCAGGCTCTGTAAAATGTGTAATAGGTTTCTCCTCAAAAAATTTAATGGATAAAAAAGAGAAACTGAAAGATTTTCTCTTTAGCTTATGAAATGGCATGTTAGTGCTTCATATTTCTCTTCACTAGTACATACTTATTTTATTAAGTGACTATACAATTACCCTGTCTTCAAATCAGTATTTGAATCCACAAGAGCCACAGGCAAAAGATGTATAGACTTCTGAAATAAAAGAAGACAATAAACAAGAACTACAGATTATTGACTTCACCTTCTTTTTAATAGGACTATCTCCAGAGATTTTATTTTCTTGATTCAAAAACAAAGGATGCCAACAGTTTCAAAGACAAACTCAAGGTGATGCAAAAGTTCTTTCACCTACCTTTAACTGGAAAGTTAAGTTCTTATATCATAGAAATAATGCAGAAGCCCAGATGCGGAGTGCCAGATGTTGCAGCATATTCACTATTCACAAATAAGCCAAAATGGACTTCCAATGTAATCACATACAGGTTAGTTTTGCTTTGGCTAATTTAGCAAAACTATAAAGTCCTTTTAGTAGGAGAATAATTATTGTTTTATTGTTCACTATTAGGATTATATCGTATACTTCCGACTTACCACGTATCAAAGTGGATGAAATAGTGGCAAAGGCTTTAAGCCTGTGGAGCAAGGAGATCCCACTGAGTTTCAGGAGAATTAGGTTTGGAACAGCTGATATCGAGATTGGATTTGCAAGAGGAGGTAAGGATAATTCCTGTAGACTAAGCCTGTGTGCTCTTTTATCTGTTTGTTCTTTATGCAAGTGCTGTACTCTTTTGAAGGCTTACCACCTTTCATAGGGATTGCAGGCACACCTCAGTATTAAAACATGTGCTTATCATGTGCAGAGCCCTGATTTCAGTCCCAGCACCACAAAAGAAAAGCTCCTTTAATGAAATATACAGAAATAGAAATAATATACATAGTAATATTTTTATAATTTTTCTAACTTGTTAAATTAGAGACACTTTTTATTGCAGCAATTGGTAAATTATGACTCATGACCCAAAACCAGCTCACCATGAGTTTTTGTAAATAAAGTTTTATGGAACACAGCCACATTCCTTCACTTACCCATTGTCTTACAGCCATTTTCAGATGAGCTACAGTTGTGATAGACTACCTCAAGTCCACAAAGCTTGAACTAATTATTATTACCTGACACTTTATAGAAAAAATTTGCCAGCGCTAATTTTGTAGCATAAGTCATTACATACATAATTATATATATATACATATATATTATGTGTCTGTGTGTGTGTGTGTGTATATATATATATATATATATGTTTAAATTTAGCTAATATCATCATTAAACTAAGAGAAGGGGTTATAGCTTTCAGAAACTTCAAGTGACTCCCAAGAGGTAGGATAGCTTGTATGGCCTGTTGCTAATGTCTTTCATGTAGCAAGAAAATAGAAAATGGAGACTTTCATATTAAATACCCTTGAAGCTATATAAAACATATACACAAGCTGCTCTTAATTGTTAGGATTTTATGGTACACATTTAGGGGGGAGATGTTTTCCATTGTGTTCTATTCTAATATTGAACTGCCTGGGTACTATGAATTTAGCCAAAACTTGAATTTGACCCCATGATATTAGTGACACTAAAGAAAATACTATGGAAAGCATGAATAGCAGCTACAAGACTTCCAAGAATTAGATAAACTGAATGCAACCTGGTACACATTGAGGATAAATAGATCTGCACTGCAAATAAAAGGACTATGAAAATACACTTTAAAAGACTTTGAGCATGGTTCTCTAAGAGACATCTACTATGCTCACAAGAAATAAGCTAATTTTTTTAAACTTTATTTTAATGGTACATTTTAGGTATACAAAATAATGACATTCATCGTTGGAAATTTGCACCTTTACATAATCTCTCTTAGTTCTTATTTTTCCCCCTTTCCCTGCGCTCTCTTCAACCCCTCCGTCCCTCCCTATTTACAAAGATTTTGTTTCCATTTTTACATTTTCTCATATTAATTCCATTCCCTTCTTTCCTTTCCTTTACCCCTCCAACTTCCCCTTCCCCTTTGCCCCTTTTCTTCCTATTTCACATTATAAATTATAATTTTTAGTCCTTATTTACACTTTCAGTTTTTCACACTAGAGAAACTATTTGATATTTACACATGTATTTCCTATTTATTTCACTTAAGAGTATCGCCTCAATGTGCATCCATTCAAATTTCATTAATTTCTCATTTTTTATGGCTGAGTAGTACTCCATTTTATTTAAAAACCACATTTTCTTTATCCAGTCTCCAGTTGATGGGCAATTGGGATGCTTCTAAGTTTTAGCTATTACAAACTGTGCTGCTGTGAACATAGGTTCACATATATCACTGTGGTATGATTCTTTTAATTCTTTGGGGAAGAGACCCTGCAGGGGAATAGCTGGGTCAAAAGAGACTTCTAGTCCTAGTTCTTTGAGGTACCTCCATACAGATTTCCACAGTGGTTGCACTAGTCTACACTCCCACCAGTAGTGGAGCAGGGTTCCTCTTTCCCCAAAGCCCCGCCAGCATTTGTTATTGGTTGATGTCATGATAGCAGCCATTCTTTCCAGAGTGAGGTGGAATCTCAGTGTTGTTTTCATTTGCAGCTCTCAAATGACCAGTGATGTTGACCATTTTTTCATATGTTTATTTGCTATTTCTACTTCTTTGTCTGAGAAATGTCTGTTCATTTCAGATACCCATTTTGGACTAGGTCTTTAAATTTGGGAGGGCTGATATTTTGAAGTTCTTTATAGATTCAAGATAGTAGACCTTTGTCTGAGGAACAGCAGCTGAAGATTTTTTCCCACATTGTGTCTCTTCACACTGCTAGTGGTTTCTCTTCATGTGCAGAAGCTTTTTAATAAGAAGTGATACCACTTGTTGATTTTTTGTGCTAGTTCACAGGCAACTGAGGTTTTGTTCATAAAATCTTTTCCTAAACCAATGTCTTCAAGAGTTCTACCTAACCTCTGTTCCAGCTGGTTCAGAGTTACTGTTTTAATATTTAGATCTTTAATCCATTTCAATTTTAGTTTAGTGCATGGTAAAAGATACAGGTCTAGTTTTAATCTTTGGCAAGTTGAAACCCAATTTTTCCAGCAGCATTTCTTAAAGAGGCTATCTTTTCTCCAGTGAGGGTGTTTGGTTCCTTTATTGAAGATGAGATGGCTGAATGTGTCTGGAGTTGTTTCTGTATCTTTTAATCTGTTCCACTGGTCCTCAGGTCTGTTTCTTTGCCAGTACCATGCTGTTTTATCACAGTAGCTTTGTAGTA